AATACCCTACCTAAATAATCTTTCAGGTAGGCAACTTAAGAGTCTAATTTGCATTAGGAAGCCTGTTTGTAACAAGTATGGAAAGAGGGCCACCGGTTAACCAGAATTTTTTGTCCTTTGTATAAACAGTATTTGCAGGGTCCACGTAGGAACTCTGGCATTAGGTACTTTATAAGCTTAAAACTTCCTCCCCAGTACTTCCTTTTCAACTCTGTCTCTCTTTATCATTTGTAGATGTCCTTTCCTTAGCTTTCCTTCCATCTGCAGAATTCTGAGCTGGCTACAATTCTCAAGTGTCACTTGAGTACATACCTTTGTGCAGGAGATACATATCTGGAAAATGGACACTCAACTTGGTTTTGTTAAAATCTGTGGAACTTCCAAAAGACTTGTCAAATCCCACATTGGAAAAGAAAAATTTGGGGCGCCTCGGTGGTTCAGTTGGTTAAGCATCTGCCTTTGGCTCAGGTCATGATCTCGGGGTCCTGGGATCGAGCCCTGCACTGGGCTCCCTGCTTAGCAGAGAGCCTGCTTCTCCCTCTCTCTCTGCCTGCTGCTCCCCCTGCTTGTGCTCACTCTCTCTCTCTCACTCTCTCTCAAATAAATAAAGACAAAAAAGAAAAAGAAAAATTTGTTAAATCATTCATTCTCCTCTGCACACAAAAAGAGGAATCAATCTCTCCATCTTTGACTGAACCAAGAGATGCAAAAACATTATTGGAATAAGTCTAAAGGCCTAATCTGAAAAGGATTTGAAAGTTAATGAAAATTTAAGGCTTAAGATGAAATGAAAAATAAAACTTACTACAAGTCTGCTTATTGATAGTATAACATAAAAAAGGAGTGCCTTAACATAGCAGAAAAGAAAGCTAACTACTAATTTTCTAATGCTTTACAAGGGATGAACTCTTTATACTGCCAAAGAGAATCAGGCTCATAGTTGTTTTACAAGAAAAAATTGGTAAGCTGTGATTCTGAATCATCACCTTACTTCTAGATCATTAAATAAGCACCACCCTTCACAGGAACTTTCTCTTTGTAATACTCTTCCCAGTACTACACTTAGTAAACTACTGCACAATATTCATTCCAGACATAAAAAAATATATTCCAAGGAATGTTTTCTTCACCCTCAGACTAGTTCTTCTTATACTTGATCATATTCACCTAGTTGCCCTTCCGGCATTTATAGTAATTTAAATTTTGTAATAATTTGTATTGATGTAGGCTTACAAACTGTGTATACCCAATAGTACACAGATTTAGCTTTTTAAAAAAATTTTGTGCCAAAGCTATGAGGCATACAGGAAAGATTTTTAAAAGGTGAACATATTGGGTGCCTGGGTGGCTCATTTGGTTAAGCAACTGCCTTCAGCTCCGGTCATGATCCTGGAGTTCCAGGATCAAGTCCCGCATTGGGCTCCCTGCTCAGTGGGAAGCCTGCTTCTCCCTCTGACCCTACCCCCTCTTGTGTACTCTCTCTCTCAAATAAATAAAATCTTTTTTAAAAAAAGTGAACATATTAAACAGAATCAAGAGATTCAATCAGCCAAATAGAGGATATGGAGAATACTAATGGACAAAATGTTTATAAACTTTATCCAGTAAATAAGAGTAAGTGGCTTCCTTATTGCCCATAGTAACCATGAGTTTATTGCAGTGGGCTTCAGGTGTTCTTCACCTGTGGCTTTGTCAAGACTGTAGCTCCTGTGTGACACAGTGGAGACCATGGGAAAAGGCTATTTATCATCACACCTTCTGGATTCTAGGATACTTGTTTTTTGAATGTAATGAAATTCTACATTTCTTTTTAAGATTTATTTATTTGACAGAGAGAGATATAGTGAGAGAGGGAACACAAGCAGGGGGAGTGGGAGAGGGAGAAGCAGGCTTCCCCCCGAGCAGGGAGCCCAATGCGGGGCTCGACCCCAGGACCCTGGGATCATGACCCGAGCCGAAGGCAGACGCTTAATGACTGAGCCACCCAGGCGCCCCTGAAATTCTACCTTTTTGTGAGTGGGATTTCAGTAGCAACCAGTATAACTTTAGTAAATATATTGACTGGTGAAGCTGAGTTAGCAGGAAATCCAGAAGGCTAATGTATTAGAACACTGGAAATATTTCAATCCATCAAGATAGACTGCCCACTTTCTCTGATAGTCCTGAAAATAACTATGAAAAAACAGTGGCTATCCTGCAAATTAAAGCCAAAAGGGCTGGATTATAGTTAAAAGAACTGGTAAGGGGCGCCTGGGTGGCTCAGTCGTTAAGTGTCTGCCTTCGGCTCAGGTCATGATTCCAGGGTCCTGGGATCGAGTCCCACATCGGGCTCTCTGCTCAGTGGGAGGCCTGCTTCTCCCTCTCCCACTCCTGCTGCTTGTGTTCCTGCTCTCGATATCTCTATGTCTGTCAAATAAATAAAATCTTAAAAAAAAAAAAAACTGGTAAGATTAATGTGTGCCAGATGGTCCCTGGTAGCAATATCTGACCCTTGATAAGGTACTTATTGATCATCTTCCAAAGCAACTCATTACAAGTAATCTTTTGTTTCTCCAAAGTGTATTGTCTTCAGAGGAAAATAAATTAATAAACATATTCTGTATTTTTGCTGTGTATGATGAATGAAAAGCTCCTCTTCCATTGCTGTTTCTCAGTGTTAGTTCAGATTAAAGTTTCTGCATTATTTCAATCGTTTATTTTTCCTTTACCTGTATTAAAGTATAATTGGCAAATGAAACTGTAATATAAAGTAATGATTTCATATATGTATACACTGATCAGGGAAGACTTTTGATTTGGGGATTTCAGCTTCGTATTGAGTTTAAAAATTTTGAGGGCGCCTGGGTGGCTCAGTCATTAAGTGTCTGCCTTTGGCTCAGGTCATGATCCCAGGGTCCTGGGATCAAGCCCCGCATCAGGCTCCTTGCTCAGCGGGAAGCCTGCTTCTCCCTCTCCCACTCTCCCTGCTGTGTTCCCTCTCTCTGTCAAGTGAATAAATAAAATCTTAAAAAAAAAAAGTTAAAAAATTTTTAAAATGCAGAGAAATTGGGATTTGTAAACTTCTGAAGAAGTAACTTTGAAACATTGTTTCATTTGACAAATGGAAGGTAGAGAAGCCTAATTCTGTTAAGTATCAGGAGCTATAGTTGATACATATGTTAGTACTGTAAATAGACATCTGCATTATTCAAGGGCAACTCAGGATTTCAAATTACAGAAGAAACATTAAACTATATAAAAATATTAACACCTTAACTAATTCTTCAGTGAACAAAAGAGGTAAGGTGAATACTCAAAAGACACATGTAATAAAAGCCATACAATTGGTATCATGATTGCATTCCATCGGCCTTCAGCAGCTAATTCCATCAATAAAATTTAGCACTAACATTTATATTTAAAAATATTTTTTGTGCATTCAAGTTATCAGAGTTATTAGAGTGCTGACATTTTGGAAATTCTTAAGAGGTTATGCATTGACACCCAGTAGTACGCATGGGGATTGAAGAACAACCATGAAAATGATAATGATGGAAGATTGTGATAGGGTTAATGGGACTTCTTAACAGTCTTATTCACAGATATGTATGTAAATAGCCATTACAAAAGCTAGAATATCTCATATAATTTTATATATTGAAAAAGATGAAAGGGCAGGAGGAACTTAGCTTCTGGGATGCAAGCATGTATGAAAACATCAAAATATGTATTTAAAGTATGTGTAGTTTAAGTCAAGTATCTTTATTTATTATTTACTTATTTGACAGAGAGAGACACAGCGAAGAGAGGGAACACAAGCAGGGGGAGTGGGAGAGGGAGAAGCAGGCTTCCTGCTGAGCACGGAGCCCGATGTGGGGCTCCATCCCAGGACCCTGGGATCATGACCTGAGCCAAAGGCAGACGCTTAATGACTGAGCCACCCAGGCGCCCCTAAGTCAAGCATATTTAAGTCAAACTCTTTTTACAAAACAAATATTTAGGGGCACCTGAATGGCTCAGTCAGTTAAGCATGGTTTCCTGGTTCCGTTTCCATGGAAACCTGGTTTCCGTTCAGGTCGTGATCTCAGGATCGTGGGATCGAGCCCGTTGGGTTCTGTACTTAGCAGGGAGTCTGCTTCCCCCCTCACTTTCCCTCCTGCCCTTCCTCCATGACCCCCCCGGCTTGTGCACATTCTCTCTCAAATAAATCTTTAAAAAACAAAATAAGAACAAGAACAAAAACAAAACAAAAACACCCACAAATACTTAAAACTTGCCACTTGCTGGTCATTTTATGGTTTTATTACTTTTGTTCTTAAAGTTATCTGTGGCTACTGTATCAGTACTTTGGGAATAGAATTTAATGAGGTGCTACTGGAATATCTCACTACCTCCATGTTCAGTGACATCACCTTAGCAATTTGACATTTACCATGAGATCAACAGGGATTGCCAAAAACTAAAACCTAGGCTTGATTTAATGTGTTATTGAGTTAAGACAGCAAAGAAAATGTTAATGCAGATTAAATGCGTAAGTCTGGTGCATGTGGGCTTTCAATTGTGAGGACAAAAATTTGAGGGAGAAAAATCTTCTAGTACTCAATTTTTCCATATAATACTTAAGTACATAAAAAGAAAATAGGCAAAGATTATGAGCATACATTTTATCAAAGAAGATAAACACAGCAAATAAATGACAAATGCTCAACATTATGAACACTTAGGGAAATGGAATTAAAACCACAGTTTATTACCACTACACTTATTTCAAGGATGTCACGGAACTTGACTTTTCATGTGCTGATGGTGGGAAGCCAAGAGAGAATAACCATTATAGATCACAGTTTCCCATTTCTTTTTTTTTTTCAATAAATAATCTTTTTTTAATTGTTATGTTAATCACCATATATTACATCATTAGTTTTAGTTTCCCATTTCTTAAAATGTGAAAGATTCACTTCCACTCTAACAGTTTCGGTTATTACAACAAGAGAAATAAAACATATATCCACATAAAGAAGTGAATGTAAATATTCATAGCAGCTTTATTTGTAAATACCCCAAACCTGGAAATAATCTGTGGGTCCAGAACAGATGCACGGATAAAGTCATTATCGACAGAATAGAAAGCTACTCATCAATAATACACAGAATTTTAACATTCCTCACATTTAAGGGTTTTCTCCAGTGTGTACTCTCCTGTGTCTAAGGAGGTTAGATTTGCGGCTAAAAGATTTCCCACATTCGCTGCATTCATAAGGTCTTTCCCCAGTGTGAACTCTCTGGTGTTGAATGAGGTCAGATTTGTGGGTAAAGGGCTTCCCACATTCATTGCACTCATAAGGCCTTTCACCAGTGTGACCTCTCTGGTGTTGAATGAGGCTAGAACTTTGGCTAAAGGTTTTCCCACATTCACTGCATTCATAAGGCCTTTCTCCAGTGTGAACTCTCTGGTGTTGAATAAGGCTAGCACTTTGGCTAAAGGATTTCCCACACTCCCCACACTCATACGGCTTTTCTCCAGAATGAACTCTCCGGTGTTGAATAAGACCAGAGCGTTGCCTAAAAGATTTCTCACATTCGCTGCACTCATAAGGTCTTGTGCCAGTATGAATCCTCTGGTGTTGAATGAGGTCAGATTTTCGGGTAAAGGATTTTCCACATTCACTGCATTCATAAGGTCTTTCTCCAGTGTGAACTCTCTCATGTTGAATAAGGATAAATTTACGGCTAAAGGACTTCCCACAAACACTGCACTCATAAGGCCTTTCTCCAGTATGAACACTCCGGTGTCGAATGAGGTTAGAGAACTGTCTAAAGAACTTCCCACATTCACTGCACTCATAAGGCCTTTCTCCACTGTGAATTCTCTGGTGTTGAATGAGTTCAGATTTGCAGCTAAAAGATTTCCCACATTCACTACACTTGTAAGGCACTTCTCCAGTGTGAATTCTCCCATGACGAATGAGGTTAAAAATTTGTCTAAAGGATTTCCCACATTCGCTGCAATTATATGGCCTTTCTCCAGTGTGAACTCTCTGGTGTCGGAAAAGGCTAGAGCTTTGTCTAAAGAATTTCCCACATTCATTACACTCATAAGGCTTTTCTCTAGTGTGAACTCTACGGTGTTCGATGAGGTTGGATTTGTAGCTGAACGATTTCCCACATTCACCACACCCATAATGCATTCCTCTAGTGTGTAGTCTCTGATGGTGAATGAGTTTAGATCTGTGGATAAAGACTTTTCCACATTCACTGCATTCGTAAGTTCTTTCTCTAGTGTGAATTCTCCAGTGTTCTATGAAACTGAAGTTATGGGTAAGAAACTGTCCACAATTTCTGCATCTATAAGGCTCTTTATCACTGTGAATTCTCCAGTCTTTAATAAGGCCAGAGATTTGGCTCAAGAATTTCCCACATTCACCACACTCATATGGCCTTTGTCCACTGTGAATCTGTTGGTGCTGCACAAGGCTGTAGTTTGAGCTGAAGGCTTTCCCACATTTGCTACACTCATAAAGCCCTTCTCCAGAGCAAACATTCTGATGTTGATCAAGTGCATGGTTGTGGCTGGCAACTTTTTCACATTCACCCCCGTTGTACTGACTTTTTCCGCTGTGAAGGGCCTCTCCACTCTGGTTGCCACGGTGTGGCTCCTCACTGTTGGGACTGGTCTGGAGTTGAAGATGTCCCGAGGTCGCTGGGAAGTCCTCTCCAACCTTCCTACATGTGAAAGGCTGCCCTGACACACAGAAGTTGCAGCTTGTCACACACGAGGCCCTGTCCACATCTCTTTTCCAGGGCTTCTCCCGATTGCCATGCCTCTGTTGCTGGTGAAGGTCTGCATGGAAAGAGAAGCATCTCACACATGTGGCACCCAAGTATGGTTTCTGCCAAGGGTATATTGTTTGGTGCTCAGCATGGTGCAAAATATCTTTCAAGGCTGGGATACATCTCACAGGGGTGGATCTTCTGTGTGGAGAGACCTGCCTGAAAAGCCCTGAGCTGGGACTCTCCTACAGACATAGTCTGCTCAGAAGGGGCCTCCTCATCTTCCATCCCATGCCTAAAGCCTGAAAGCAGAAATGCTGAAGAAATGCATATTGACTTCGGTGGGAGGGGGAAGCCCCATTTCAAATGTGTCTGACACAACAAGTTGCATCCATGATTGTTCTGAGAACACAGCAGGTAGGGGCAGGTTGAGGTAGGGGCTGCTTGGTGGTATTGGGCCTCCGAAGAGACCAGAATAGGAGAGACCTCAATAGACAATACACAAGCATAGGGTGCACCACATGGAGGCGAGGTCCCTGCCTCCTCACTCCTCCTTCAGTAGGACCTCATCTGCTGGCAACACAGGCATGCTGTGCGGGAGGCTGGTCGTGGCCTGTCCCAGTAAAATTCAACTGGACCTGAGTAGCTGGTTCAAGGACTGTGTAAGGATATGTGCACACCTCATGACACCATTTGCAGGTCAATGTTGGAGGATATTGTGAAGGGAGCAGTGCAGAGGAACTGGTGGCCCGGGAAGGCCACCAAAGTGGAAGGAGCCAGAAGTCTCAGACGAAATGAAAATTAGCAAACTGTTAAGTATGCAAAAGAAAAGGTAGAAACAATACATGGCTGGTGGTACCTGCACCAAAACACTACCGAACCCATGGCAAGTTCCTGGTATGATCTGAACAAGGCCCTGATGCCATGCCCTCCCCCAGTTGCCGCTCACAAGGGCCAGACCTCCTCTGAGACCATCTTGCCATTTCCACCCTGTAAAACCAGTGTTTTCCCTGCACTCTCCACTGTGTGACCCCTCAGAACTTGAATGACGCAAGTCTTAATGAAAGACGCAGTGAGTGGCCACCGCTGGCCCCATGCAACTTGTCATGCAGTAGTATTCAGGAAAGAAAATGTAAAATACAATCAAAGGAGGGTCTTACAAGAACAGCCCACTGTCCATGTGAATAATGACCATGACCTGGCACAGGCAGTCACAAAGAACTGTCAGCTAGAGGAAGGGGGCAAAACTAGAAGCCAGGGATCTGGACACAGTCACCCTGCCAGGGAGAAGGCAAGGTGGGATCCATTAAGTTAACTTCAAGACTCCTCACTCCCAGACCCTCCCGTGTACTTTTTGAGCTAACAGGTGTCAGGGATGCTTGGGCAGTCCACTGCTCGGGGCACTATACACAGCTCAGCACTGGCACCCACAGCACACATAACAAGAAAGTGGTGGAAATTAGGAGAGCCTGTGGTCCAGTTGTGGGAAAGAAAGAGTGAACTCTGGGGAAAAAAGGAAAGGCAGGACGTCACCTCAGGACACAAGGAGCAATGTGACAATCTTACCCAGCGATGCTACAAGTGCAAAGTTCTCCAGCATCACATCGCAGTACAGGAGTCTCTGAGTTTCATCAAGGAGCCCCCATTCCTCCTGGGAGAAGTCAATGGCCACGTCCTCAAAATTCATACCCTGTCATAATGTGGACAGTTCATTCTATGATCAACATCTCTCCTAGGAGTCCAAGTTCATTATAACCCCCACCCTCCACATCCATCCTCAGCTCAGTCTACTCCACAACTCAGAGGAGATACCAGGCCTGGGTGTCCTTGGAGCCACTCTCTCCTCATATTCCTACTGATACTGTGTCTTCCCACAACAACAACAAGCAGATGGGCAGATAGAGGATATCTGAATGATGGACCTGGCATGGTAGTCACGATGCCTCTTATCAGTGTAGTCAGTGTCACACACACAGGTTAGAGAGAGAAGCTAGCTATAGGGAGGGTGTGCATGAACTGACTCTGGTCTTATCAGGCAATACCACCAAAGTCCCCAGATCATCCCTCCAAGATGCAAAAAAATGTGGCATTATCCTTCATCCTTATGACCCCAATTTTAGTGTCCTGTGGTCACGCTTTCACACTCACTCTTTCTGCCACACCTCTCACAACTGCACTCCCACAGCTACAGCCCCCTCCTACCCTACACCACAGTCATCTCCTTGGCCTTTCTACATGTTACTCGGCATATGTGGCCCAGAAAACGCCTGGCAGTTTCAAACAGGATCAAATACTACTCCAGACTGATGGTTTCCACTAAAAGAGGCAGCCTTTGGTGCTACTATGAAGACCTCCCTCCCTGTTCCTTGCTTCAACCTCACTACCAAGAATATTTATATTCTGAAATACCAGATTTCAGATACACATGGCTCTCCTCCACCTGTGTGCCACATGCATTTGACGTCCCCTCTCCAGTCACAGCTGTCCTCTCTCCATCTAACCCGCATTCAAAACTCAGCTCCAGTGGCCCTGTATGGCCTTATACCCTACCCCCAATTAGTCTCATAAATGACCACTTGTGCCCCGAAGCTAATCCACCAGCCTAACCTGAACACTTAGGCCCCACCATGGAATACAATGAAATCCTGGTGAGTCTGTAGAACAGAGAATAAGCACCAGCCCCCACCTCAGCGTCATCTTGTTTGAAGTACTCCTGTGCCCCCACATCCATCTCATGTCCACATGTCCCCTGGAGCCCCTGGCCACATACCAAACCATACATTCTCCCCTACCTTCTCTATGATCACTTCTCTCCCTGATCTGTGTTGGGACAGCCACAACCCACAACCAGGGAGCCAAGCAGGAAACCTAGTCCTCAGACCCACCCTCTTCTTCCTGGCCAGGATTCCCCATATTAAGTGATCCATAGCTCCGCCCTGGTCCAAACACTCTCCACTACCTTTTGGAGAAGTCTACATCCTGAACTCCTCAGAGTTCCAGAGGCCCACAAACTGTTCTCTGAAACATCTCCTACCCTTAATGGGCCAAAAAGAAATCTTCCGATATCTCCAATGAAAATTACTCTTACTATGAACTTCCCCATCTCAACTGATGGAGCTTCCATCCTCCCAATTGCTAAAGCCAAACCTTCAAGTCATCCCTGACGCCCACCTCTCTCTACCTCAAAATGAGAAAACCCTGGAAGCCACACCTAAAACACTAGTGCAGAATCCAGCCACTTCTCCATGGCCACCACCCTGCTCCGGCTACCATCACACTCACCCAGACTATTGCAGTAGCCTCCTCTCTTCTCTTCCTACCAACTTCACACTTGTACTCTTCTCCATGCTGCAGCCCCAGAGAGCCCGGTAAGAGCTCGGTCAGACCAACTGCCTTTACTCCTCCAAACCTCCCATAACAGCCATCACCAGGGTGTCCGGACCTGACTCCTGCCCCATTCCTCCCAGTTCCCACGAGAAAGAAAGGACACCTGCAGGCCCCTGAGCCCTCAAGCCTTGGCATGTTCTGTTACCGACGCCTGGGACCGCTTCCACATCTCAGGGGCTAAGCGCCCAGCCCAGCCCAGGATCCGGTGGCCGACAGCGGGCTGCGTTACTTCTGGGCTTCCGTCCTCTCGCTAGTTAGGTGATCTTTACAGAACTCAACTTCCCTGTGCCTATTATCACCCCTCTTCCCGTCCGTTCATCCTGCGAGCAGCTCCAGGAAACGTGTGAGAACCCGATTTCAGACACTGCCCCTCTTTCGCTCCCAAGTCTCCCTGGCTCCCACCGTTCTGAGAATGGAGGCAAAACTCCCGAGGCACAACTTCGCCTCACACTCCGTTGCCCGTAGACACAAGACCCTGGGCTTCCCCAGCGCTCCCGGCTCAGTCGCGCCTCTAAGTCTTTGCACGAGCTTGTCCCAACCCGGAGCCCGCTCCTCACGCCGGCACGCCGGCGCTCGCCCACGGGGCCCCCGCCCACCGCCCCGTCCGACGCCGGGGCCTGGGCCGCAGGGCCGCGAGCAGCTCGGGCCTCCGGGGTCTGGGTGGGGGGACGGCGGGGAGGGCCCGGGGGACGAGCGCTTACCTGCGGCGGCTCCCTGGGCGCGGCCGCCGCCATCGGACTCTGGGGGCGGAGCAGGGCTGTGGGGCAGGGAGGTCTTGATCCCAGCCTGCTGCGGGTCACCCCGGGCTGCGCCGCCTCCAAGCCTTAGAGCCGTCTCTTTGTAGGGGGGAGAACGCTTCTGCCGGCAACCGGGGGCTCCGAAACCTCAGCGTGAACAGGCTCCAGAAAAGCCAAAATGACCGCCACGAGGAGGACGCCGGAAGTCCCGCCCCGACCTGGTGCGTCCGCATGGAAATGCTCCTGTCCTGGGCTTTCATTGGGTCAACGCCGCCACCGTTAGGCACATTGCCATCTGGGTAATGTAGTTTCCTCAGCCGCACGGACGGTTAGAGTCCGAGTCCTTGACCTCCGTGAGTCAAGGTTTCGTGGAGCCACGAGTGTCTGAGAAATAAGAGTAATCTAGCCTCAGGGAAAGGAAGCTGTTTACCCCTTCTGCAGACTGTTGTCTGCAGCTGATCCTTGTTAGAGACATTTCAGATGCCATGAAGCTCAAAATTGTCCCTTAAGCCAAAAATACTTATTTCAATTGTTCTCAAATGCTACAAATTTAAATGGACACAGTCTCCTTAATTTTTTTTTTAGGATTTTATTTATTTATTCGACAGAGAGGGACACAGCGAGAGAGGGAACACAAGCAGGGGGAGTGGGAGAGGGAGAAGCAGGCTTCCCGCGGAGCAGGGAGCCCGATGTGGGGCTTGATCCCAGGACCCTGGGATCATGACCTGAGCCGAAGGCAGACGCCTAACGACTGAGCCACCTAGGCGCCCCAGACACAGTCTCTTTCAGACTCAAAATGCATCCACTCTTAACTAGAATGTAATAAACACGTTCTCGCTCTTCAAATGCAAGTAGTCAGAAGCTAGTCGATTTTGTAACTCTGTCTCTCAGGGCCATGACTTGGAAGAAACAGTGATGTTCAGGCCGCCCTGAAGTAAGAGGACAAGCAGTTATCTCTGCATCTGGTTCCCAAAGAGACCTCTTTCCTGCCTGTATATTCAGTGATCATGTCCAAATCACAAAGCAACACTATTTATTCATTTAATATTTCTTCATATTTTAAGATTATTCAAATCCTTTAGAAATCTGACATCTATGTCAAATGGAGAACAACTTATTACATTGTTTTGTTTTGTGATAGTGGCTACAGCATTCTGAGGCAGAGTGCATGTACAAAAGAGTCATCTAAACACCATTGTCTCATCTCCTTGCTGAGGAGGGATTACTGTTTCTTCAAGTGATTGCTGGGACTGTTGTGCATGAGGAATTGATGATATATCTGAAAAAAAATTGTGAAATGCAAAATTCAGAGAGCTATTAATAATGATTATGTAATTATTCAAAGATAGTGGTAGAAATAGCTCTGGAGAAATATCAGTGGAGGGTGAAAAAGGTAAGACATCAGATAATTTTTAACAGGACACACTTAAGTCTGAGAAGAAACAAGAGTTAAGCTGGAGCTCCTGGATGACTCAGTAAAGCATGTGGCTCTTGATTTTGGTTTGTGAGTTTGAGCCCCATGTTGGACCTAGAGTTTACTAAAAAAAAGAGAGAGAGAGAGAGTTAGGCTGAGTCCAATCTTTTTTTTTTTTTACATTTTAAGTATCTTTTAATTTTATATGTCAATTGTATTTCAATAAAGCCATAAAAATATTTGAGGGAACACAAATATTCATTCCATAACACCAATGTTTCTTTCTTTTTCAAAAATAGGGAAAGCTTCACGAATTTGCGTGCCATCCTTGCGCAGGGACCATGCTAATCTTCTCTGTATCGTTCCAATTTTAGTATATGTGCTGCCAAAGTGAGCACGAGTCCAATCTTTTTTTTAAAGATTTATTTATTTATTTATTTGTCAGAGAGAGAGAGAGCAGGGGGAGAAGCAGGCAGAGGGAGAAGAAGGCTCCCCACTGAGCAGAGAGCCCCATGTGGGACTCAATCCCAAGACCCTGAGATCATGATCTGAGCCCAAGGCAGCTGCTTAACTGACTGAGCCACCCAGGCGTCCCCAAGCTGAGTCTAATCTTGGCATTGTGATTCTTTTTAATCAATTTCATCCTAGTGGATTTGTAGACTTTCTCATTGTAGTTTTAACTTATAATTTCATAATGACTAGTGTTCTATAACTTTTCTAGGCCTAATGACCATTAAAAATGTTCTTTAATGTAGGTTTTGCTCAAATATGTTGTCTGTATTATTTTTTGTATTTTTCTCATTGATTTCTATGATTTTTTAAAAAGATTTTGTATTTATTCATTTGAGAGACAGCACAAGCAGGGGGAGAGGCAGACAGAGAGGGAGAAGCAGACTTCCCACTGAGCTGGGAGTCCAACGTGGGGCTCAATCCCAGGACCTGAGATCATGACCTGAGCCAAAGGCAGATGCTTAACCATCTGAGCCAGGCAGATGCCCTATGATTTCTTTTATATATAGTCCTTCAGTTAGATGTTCACAAATTTGTTTCTACCATTCTGTGTTACATTTTTTTTTAAAGATTTTATTTATTTATTTGACAGAGAGAGACACAGCGAGAGAGGGAACACAAGCAGGGGGAGTGGGAGAGGGAGAAGCAGGCTTCCCACGGATCATGACCTGAGCCGAAGGCAGACGCTTAACGACTGAGCCGCCCAAGCGCCCCTGTGTTACAATTTTTATTTTTTATTTATTTTTATTATTTATTTATTTATTTATTTATTTTTATTTTTTAAAGATTTTCTTTATTTGACAGAGAGGGACACAGTGAGAGAGGGAACACAAGCAAGGGGAGTGGGAGAGGGAGAAGCAGGCTTCCCGCAGATCATGACCTGAGCCGAAGGCAGACGCTTAACGACTGAGCCACCCAGGTGCCCCCCCATGTTACAATTTTTAATAAGCATCTTTTGAGTTATTCCAATGTTTTTAGGGTCATCTTTACTTTTTTTTTAAAGATTTTATTTATTTATTTGAGAGAGAGAGAGAATGAGAGATAGAAAGCATGAGAGGGAAGAGGGTCAGAGGGAGAAGCAGACTCCCTGCTGAGCAGGGAGCCCGATGGGGGACTCGATCCCGGGACTCCAGGATCATGACCTGAGCCGAAGGCAATGCTTAACCAACTGAGCCACCCAGGCGCCCGTAGGGTCATCTTTACTTTTACTAGCAATTCTTCAATACTCCAATGTCTTAGTTAAGACATCCTTTTATTAAATTTTCCCAATTCAATTTAATGTGGAGGTTCTTTCTCCTGATTGATTCCTAACTAATAATGGATTAGTTCTGGCAGTAGCCCTAGTAGATAAACCCCTATGGATGGGATTTGGGAATTGATTTGACCAAGCCCTTGGGCTTGAACGAAGTGCTGAACACCTAGCCAAGAGGAAATGGGATGCTTATGACCCATGGTATGCATAGACATCATAATGAATCCATTACCTAGGGTCGATTATGATGAAGTGGCAACTGCAGTACATGCCTGGGACCAAGTGGGTGCTGCAATGAGTATTAAGGCAGTGATGGTGACTACAAGGAGTTTGGTCTGGGAAGGATTCGAATTTACATTATTGCTTACAAAGTGAAAATGGTAAGCTCAAAAACATTATCTCTCAGCTGAAGTCTCCATATGAGAAAGAGATTCTATGATAGCCCTAAAAGAAACTCTGTAGCTGCAGGATTCCTATTGCTGAAAATCAAAGCATTAAATCTATAACTTGCTGAGTTACAATGACTGTTGAATACACAATCTCACAATGTTTCTCATGTGAAAGGGTGTTGGTTCATAAAGGGGGATTCTGAATGCTGGAGTGGGGTCATCTCGTTGGATACAAAGAAACTGACAATCTGGATTCTAAGTTAACCTGAGTCTCTCTTACCAGGTGTCTGAAGAGACTAGCCTTCTGCTAATACCCCCTGGGGCAGATGGTCTATAAAGGAATGCTAATTTTCTACAAGACTCATCACAACAACCTAAAACTAGTATCAACTCAGCATGATTCAAGGAAATAAGAGGAAATAATGGCTGGATAAAAAAGAGACCCCTCACAGACCCCAAACCTGCAACCCTCCCGACCTGGCTGCCCATTGCTTTGGGTCATGAAAACAGCGCCTCCACAAGCTCAGCACAGCTACCAAGTTCTCCTTAAGATAGGAGGAAGCTAAACCTGAGTTCTCTGAGCTCTCTGGTGTCCACCTGCCCCGGGGGGAGGGAGGTGTTCTCTGTCCTCAGTCCCTTGCCAGATGCCACGGTGTTGGAGAAGGTCACCTCTCTCCCAGACACCTTGGCTATCCAGGGAGCACCTTTGGATTAACTGAGCAAAAAGTAATGGGAGTTTGTAGATGTATGAAAGGCACTGCCAGCCATCATATATGGTGGGGCTCAGTGAAATGTTGCTGCTTTCTACCCCTAAGCTAGGATGTTCCTGAGTAAGAATAGGACTGGGGAAAAACAAAACAAAACAAAACCAAACCTTGGCCAAATATCAGGTAGTCGTCTTAGGACTGGATACTCTGGTCAACAAATGATGCTAACTTACATATATTGTAAACTATTGGGCCATTACCTAAAAATTGTCCATTCAGGGTAAAGAACTTTGGGACCATCTTACTTCACAGACACCCAAAATATAAATAAAAATCACCACATTACAAGACCTTCCAAGGACACTCCTTATTCCCTTGGGAGTTACAGACATGACTGATAGTAACTAATGCCACAGATTTTAACACAATCGGTTGAATGCCCATTTTCTAGGAATATGTCTCCTCCACAAAAAGTTACAAAC